TTGGGCTCCGACCTGGAGCCGCTGAGGACGTTTGAGGTTCCGGGTTCCAGCTCCACGGGATCAGGCTGAGTTGCAGCTGCTCCTGTCCACTCCCCATCGTGGCTCTGCCTTTCCCAGGCCGCCCCGCAGACGGGATCGTACAGAACGAAGGCTGTTGGGTCTGGCTTCTTTCACTTGGGAAAACGCACTGAAGATTCACCCGTGCCGCGTGCCCACGACCTCGCTCCTCCCTGTTCCTGCAGCCCACTCCACTGAGTGGCTGCACCCCCATTCGGTCATCCACTCATCTGCTGAACGGCACGTGAGTTCTCTGCGGGCTTTGTCAGCATAAAGTGGCTGTGCACAGGTGCTTCCGATCCAGCTGGGTAGGTGCAGTGCTCTGTGCAGGGGAGCAGCTGCCCCAGGCGATTTCTGGACAGACCTGAACAGAGGCGCCCGGGCAGCGTCGATGCACAGTCACCAGAACGCTCTCCTGCAGCCTGCAAAGGCAGCCCGCCTTGGAAGCGAGGCCCCTGCACCCACCTGCTGAACTGAGACCGGAGGACGCACAGCCCCCCAGCACGCGGCAACAACAGGGATGGCTCCTCAGACCTTCCTGGTGCGACGCGGCATCTGTGAGGCACCACAGTCCCAGTGGTCACCCAGATGCTGTTCTCGGTCCCTGGAAACAAGGCAAAGCCAGGAAGTGATGCACCGAGCCCACCTCTGCAGAAGGAGGGTGGTCCCTGACCCCCCTTGCTGACCTCACTCCCTTCTAGTCCTCCTGGGACCACCTGAGCTCCCAAGAGTGAGATGCAGGTGGTACATCCCGCCCCCAACCCGGTGCCCAGGGGAGCCTCGAAGGAAGGGAGGACCAGGGAGACAGACATTCCGGGTAGGGGGCCCCGGGAAAGGCGCGGGCGGGGGCTCCGGACAGGGGACTTATTATTCTGGGATATGAGCACAGATGTGCAGAACAAATGAAGTCAAAATCGTCATCCTGCCGCCCCAGCGTCATTGACACCCGTCCAGCCGGGAGAAACCTCAGGTCAGAGCTGCAGGAAGTATGAGCGCGGGATGCTCCTGTGGCTGCAAACACACGTCCTGGCTTAAAACAACAGAAATTCATTCTCTCACAGTTTTGAGGCCAGAAGCTCAAAATCAGGGAGTTGGTGGGGCCGAACTGACTTCCGAGGCTGTCGGAGAGGCCCCTCTGCCTCCTTCGGCTTCTGGTCCCTGGACTTGGGGCCACGTCGTGCCAACCTTCCAGACCAGCGTCTCCAACTCTCTCTGCCCTGACTTCACACGGCCTTCCTGCTCTGTGTCACCGAATCCCTGCTCCTGTCTTATAAGGACACTTGTGATGGCATTTAGGGGTGGCCCCAACAGTCCGGGCTAGTCCCCTTACTTCAAAACCCTTAATTTAACACTTAATTTTGCCACATAAGGTCATAGACACTGATTCCAGAAATTAGGGGGTGTAGGTATTTTGGGGGGCTTTTTTCAGCCTACCACGTGGGCTTTTCTATGTTCTAAGTGGGTTATTTCTGCTCTGTAGGAAAGACGGAGAGTCTTAAAACTTCCGTGATGAGGAACCTTACTGCTCTTTCGTATTGTTTCTCATGTTTTCCCAGGGAATTCTCTTGGGCATTTAAAGGAAGTAACGGCCCGACCGCAGTGATTACCCGTCTGTTACTCGTTCCTCACTTGCTGCACCAGCTAGGACTCCTGGTCTACGTCCAGCCTCGACGGGGACCACGGCTGTCTTACTGAAGAGCACGATGTGGGCTAATAGTTCATGGTGAGAACTCTAATTTGAAAGACACCTGCACCCCAGTGTTCACAGCAGCACTAATTACAATAGACAAGACATGGAAACAGCCTAAATGTCTATTGACAGACGACTGGATAAAGAAGTTGTGGTGTATTTGTACAGTGGAATACTACTCAGCCATAAAAAAGAATGAAATAATGCCATTTGCAGCAACATGGGTGGACCTAGAGAATGTCATTCTAAGTGAAGTAAGACAAAAAGAGAAAGGAAAATACCATATGAGATCGCTCATATGTGGAATCTAATAAAAGGAAAAGAAGACACCAATGAACTCATCTTCAAAACAGGAACAGACTCACAAACATAGAAAACAACCTTATGGTTACCAGGGGGAAAGGGGGTGGGAAGGGATAAATTAGGAGTTTGAGATTTGCAAATATTAACTAGTTTATATAAAATAAACAAGTTTCTTCTGTACATCCTGGGGAAAGACATTCAATATCTTGTAGTGACCTATAATGGAAAAGAATCTGAAAAGGAATCTGTGTCTGTGCACGTATGCCTGAAACATGCTGTGCACCAGAAGCTGACACAACATTGCAAACTGACTACACTACAAAAAACAGTTCACGGCAGATTTTGATACTGTCTTGAAGGGTGCCCCTCAGGGCCTATTTGTCTAAGTTTTTTTAAAACCAGAATCACATTACCAGAACGGGAAGTCTCTTCATCTAGGGAGGATCACCAGAAGGAGCCCTTTGCTCACACAAATGCAAGATTGATACCCACTGAGTTTTTCCTGGAGAAAACTATCAAGTCACTGTTAGCTTGACTGTGGGTGTTCTATGCCAGTGGGGCCTATGTGATGCTTTATATTTGGAGAACCACAAATTGGGAAGCTGGTAATCTCATGAGCTACAGCCCCTGTAGAGGCAGGTGAGGTGGGTTCTGGGGTGTGAGAATCGGCCATGGAGCTGACGGGTCAATGAGCCCACATGGGGACACCTGGAGAGGGCAAGCCGGCAGGGACTGGGCCAACATGAGCAGTCCAGCCTGTCGGCCGCAGGCCACCATGACTTGACCGTACAGGTGTGTAACAGGGAAGGACAAACCTAACTCCACCTGAGATCTGCTCCTTTAGCGCTAACCCTGAGCTCTGTTTCCTGGGCTGGCTCTGCACCTTTTGTAAACGAATGTGGCCTGGAGCCTGAACTATACAGGAGAGCCCGTCCTCCAGGCTCTGACCTTAAGGGTAGGACACTTTTCCACTCCTATAGGGGTGGTTCTCCAGGACATGAGTCCCCCATCTGCTCGGTCCACCAACTCTCCGAATAAAGCTGCTGTTCCTGCCCCAGAACCTCGTCTCCCGATTGACTGGCCTGTAGTGCAGAAAGCAGGGCGAGTGTGGACGCGGTCACAGGTGGGCAGTGCTGAGGCCAGATCTGAGCCTGTGTGTCCACCTTCCCCTCAAAGAGCTCAGGAGGAGGGTGGGCACATGTTCCCAGAACCAGGGCCTGGGGTGTCTGCTGCGGCCACGCTGCACGCGGCCCTGAGCTGCACCATCGGCTGCTCACACCGCTGCCGCGGGACTGGTGCTGGGTGAGCTGGCAGACAGAGGGTCCCCTGTTCTCTTGGCAGCAGTGAAGGGAGCCATTTAGGCTGTTTGGGGAGAGCAGATTTCTGGGAAAACATCTCAGCAAAGACCCGCTTGCTAGTGCAGAGTTTGCAAATATCACAGACTAATTGGAAACTATCCTCGTCTGGAAAAAGCTTCACATAACCAATCCACCAGCCAAGAACTTTTGGAGAAAGAAGGAAGCAAAGTCCAGGCCGTGTTCATCTAAAGAGCCTCAGATCCATGAGGGAGAATCCAGTTTCATTTCGGTACAGTTTTGAAAACACCGGTGCCTCTGAGCCACGGTCCCCCAAGGCAAGAGCCATGCTGGCCATCTTCCCGGCTCTTGCACCGCCCTGGAGTCCGACACAATGGGCTGGGTCCCACCGTGTAACCAACAGGCCCTGGGTCTCACAAGAGCTCCCCTTCACATGCCCCCAGTCTGCGTGGATTGGCTGGGAGTCCATCTGGGACCAGAGCAGGACCCCAGCAGACATACAAGGGTCCTGCATGCCGTGCACAGAAATGACACATCATCTCCCAGCCAGAGCAGGCTGATGGCCACGCCAGAGAAGACAGGACATGTAGCCCTACTATGTGCCTAGAAGGAGGAGCACTGGGTGTCTGGCAGCCCTGATCTCTCCCTGCTGAGCCCTCCGGGACCCCTGCTGTCCTGGAGAGGGGCAAGCACAGAAGGGGATCAGGATCTGTCCACCAGGACCGGACAGAGCGGCAGAGGTGGGGGTGGGGGCTCCCGGGATGGAGCAGCGCAAGTCGAGAGGGCCAGATGGCTACCTGGGGAACCGTCCACAGAGCCAGGGAGCCATGGTGCACCCAGAGAGGAGTGGGGTGCAGGGCTGGTTGGCACCTGGAAGGCAGAGGTGGGTCTCAGGATCGTGGGCCTCCTGCCCCACACCTGTGGACACTTCCCATGTGAAGGATGCTTCAGACCGCTGAGCCCTAACTTGGCCGGGGCTGGGCTGACCCAGGAGGAGCCCGCAGCCCGGGCCAGCCCAGAACCGGAGTCCTGTCCCTAGGGCTCTGGCCCCCACCCCGATCCGCCCTCCTGTATGAAGGTCCTCTTAAAGGGCCTTCTCTTGGAGTCATGTGTGGGCAGTGCCTGCAACCAGTGTGCAGCTAGCAGGTCCCTGCCATTCACGGGGGCTGCTGTCAGCAGGAAGTGTAACCAAGAATGAACCAAAAAAGGAGAGAAAGCCACCCAAAAGCCAAGGCAAAACTAACGTATCAAGACGCAGCTGCGACGCAGCCTGGCAGAAGCGCAGCGCAGAACTCGCTGGACCGTTGCTTCCTCTTGGCTGCGCTGTTCAGTCCCCCCACAAATCCCTCGCAGACCCCTCTGAGCCCCAGGCCCAGCCATGCCCGCCCCAGGCCCTGGTAACCGGCGCAGGGGTGGCGGGGCGGAGAGAGGCAGCTCCGAGTGTCAGGGGCTCCCCTCCGCCGGGCACTGTCCGGGCCTCACCCGCTGCCCACACGGTGGGGGGTCCTGAGAATGAGGTCACTGTGGCCCCAGGTGATGAGGCCGCCCTCTCTGCAGGCCCTTCTGTCTCCCACGGTCTCCAGCTCCAGTGCCAGACGGAGGCAAGCCCTCCCACCTCCCGCCAGCAAGGGGGCGAGGTCAGGACTGAAGCAGGTCCGCCTCGCATCCACTGCCACGGCACGGCCAAGCCTTGAAGGCGGCACTGGCCGGCATCCCGGAGGCCCTCCCGGTCACTGGCCTGCAGGGACCCCACGGTTCCTCCGCTGATCGTCGCTGGGAAACCCCAGGATGCGAAGCCAGGAATCAGAAAGCCAGGCACAGTTAGGGTCAAAGAGCCGGGGTGGCTCTGCGGCACAGTGGGAGGAGTGGGGCAGTCGGCTGTCTACACCGGCGCAAACCCGTCACCCTCCTCGATGGTGCTGGGGAAAGTGGCCAGACTCCACGGCATCCTGACGCCTGCATTCCGACACCGCAGGAAACTGCTTAAAATCCGACAGTCCTGCACCTGCGACTTTCTAAAAGGAAAGAGCGTGTGGGTCTCGGCATCAAGGGCGCGTCGTGGGCGCCCTCAGTCCCTAAGAAACCCGCCCCGGAGAGAGGCCAGCCGGGGAACGGAGGCGCCCCCAGGACGTCACGCCAGGCTGCGGCCTCCGCCTGGGCGGGGGCGGGGGCTGCCCCAAGGCCCCCACGCCTGCAGGAGGGAGGCCAGTGAGGCAGGAGGCTGAACCGACAAGGCCTTTCTCAGATTTCAAACAGCAAGAAGAAAGTGAGGCAGAGTTAAGATTTAGTCTAAAAAATCTCTACCCTACGTTTTTCGTTGTTGGCTGTTCCAAAGCAGCGTTCTCCAAATATGTTCAAAAGACACTGACCTCGTGAGACTTTCCATGAAAGTTAAACCGCCTGTCAGTTTGAGAATCCTGCTTCCCCACCCCTCCGGAGGGTCAGAGTTCACATTAGCCCATCAAAGGCTCTGATAAGGCCTACTGTAGGGCCTGTTTTCCACCTTGCCTTACTCTGCGTCTCCCAAACTCTTTTGGCCCAAGAACCCCCTTTCACAGAATAGGTGATACTGACCCAGAACCCCTGAAGCTGACCTGGGGCAGAGCTGTTGAGGTGATTAGCACGGAGGGTGAGTCAGACCCGATCTGGCCACCCAATGAAGACGTCCCTCTGAACACAAGGGCTTTGAAACGCTCCCTCACCTGCGGGCCGTGCAGTGGAGATGCCCCTCGGCTCCTCCCAGCTCCTGGCTAGATGGCACCCTTTCTCCCAGCAGAGGAGCTGTGAACACTGAGCCCAGAAACACAGAAACAGGAGACACAGCCAGAGGTGGGGGTTCACCCACACAGCGTGAAGCGTGGCTGCAGGAGGATGCGGGAGTGCAGGGCCGGCGGAGGGCTGCCGGGCAGAGTACAGACGCCCTGGTCCTCCCCCATGCCACTGCCATGGTGGTGACAACAGGACAGGCCAGCCTCCACTGGGCTCCATGTGTGTGACCCTCCCTTGGCTGGGCGGGCTCACAGACAGAGGACATGCTCCCCTTACAGACAGGAGGGCTGGGGGGAACCGACAGGGATGGGGCCCAGCAGAGCGGCCTGGGGACCCCAGGGGACCAGGCCTAGGACAGATCGCACAGTCGAGACCCCCTACAGCCCAGCCCCTCTTCAGATCAGACGCTTGGATCTGCACGGGTGTGACCCCCAGAGTTCCCAAACCCAAGGCTGCTAACACCCCTGTTATGGGCTGAGTTTTGCCCCCAAAATTCTATGTTGAGGTCCTGATCTCTGAGGACCTCAGAATGGGACAATATTTGGAAATAGGGTCTTTAAAAGGGTAATTAAGTTAAAATGAGGTCACTAAAGTGGCACCGGCTCTAATAGGGACAGATATCCTTGTAAGAAGAAGGGATCAGGACACAGACATGCACAGAGGGACGACCACGTGGGGACACAGGAGGACACAGCGTTCACACACCCCGGAGAGAGGCCGTGGGAGGGACCAGCCCTGCCACACCCGGACCTCGGGCTTCAGCCTCCAGACCTTGAGAGAATAACTTACGTGGTTAAGCTGTCCGAGCTAATACGTCCAGCTGAGACAGCCATGACCCCGAACTGGCCAGAGACAGATAGAGAAGAGCCAAAGGACCCGATTCTCATTGTAACAAACACCGAGGGCCCCCCGAGTGGCAGTTTCTTGGACCATTTGGCCATGCGGGGGTTTTGCAGGGAGAAGTGGGCGCGGCCACAGACCCCGCCTGACCGGCACTGGCTGCCCCTCTGGCCGCGTCCTAGCTGCTCCCTTGTTCTGTCTCTGGAAAGCGCGTCGCACCGGCCGTTCCCACGACCAAGCAAGCGCTTTCTCCGAGAAGCGCCTGACTTGCCATGAAACAGCTCACGAGCTGCTCGGCCCCTTGCAGAGGCACCCCTACCCCATGGGAGGAGAGGAGGGGCCTTGCCAGCCCCTCCCCCCGGCATCATTGACGGCATGGAGACGCGAGACCCTCGGGAACACTGTAGACTGTGAGCAGTGGGCAGTGGGGGGCCCTCCCGGATCAGGGAAACTGAGGCCAGAGAAGGGGCATCCCTAAGTACTCCTTTGGGCTGAGCTCACTCCTCAACCCCCCATCTGCCCCTGCAGCTCCCGCCCCAGGGGAGCCGAGCAGCGCGTGGTCAGGGCTGGGCCAGGGACAGCAGCAGGGCTGGCGCTCCCACACCCAGGAGCCCCAGGGGGCTGGGACAAGGTCAGGCTTGGCCCTGGGTCACGAATTCCTGCTCCACCACCAGCCTGCTGGCCTGTGTAGGGACAGCTCCATGGTGAGCAGGCAGCTGAAGGCCTGCCAGAGGGAGGCCAGGCTGTCCCTTACTGTCCCCCACTGACCAAAGAGATCCTTTCCGAGGTGCTGGCTCATGCCCGTGGGAGAGGACCCGGGGGAGGGCGAGGTGTCAGCCCAGCCAGGTTTCTGGAGTGCGCGTGGCCTTGGCATCTGGACAGCAGGACCACTGACCTCCGAGCAGCCGTATGGGAGCCGCCCAGGGGCTTAGCCTCCGTCCAAGGTAGGGACACAGGTGGCCCCACAGCTGCGCTGGCCCAGCTTCTGCCCATTGGGTGGACATGGACGCTGCTGGGCAGCTGACCCTTGGGCACACATGAGGCCAATGTGGGTCCAGGTTTTGCATCTGGGCAGCCCCACCGCTGGACAGGAACAAGGGAGGGTGGCCACCCTGGGAAGGCCCTGTCCGCAGACCCCCCAGGGAAGCAGGTCTGCAGGAGCCGGCCTCACAGAATCCAGCAGAGCAGACCAGAGTTCCTTTCAAGAAGATGCACTGACACCTGAGCCAGCTGAGGACGCACAGGGCGCTGGCCACGGCTTCCAGAACCTTCTATTCTGGAGAAGTCCAGATGTGCACAGACGCACGCGGGGTGCCAGGCAAACTCCAGCCCACAGGGTGTGCAGGGAAGGAATGGGTGACCCCAGAAAGTCGGGGGGGGCAAATCACGGGCCCCAGGAGACGGGGAAGGGGTAGACAGCAGCAGAGGCACTGCTCGGAGTCCAGACACTGGGTTACACCCTGCCCGGGACTCAGCTGGATGGTCGGGGTGCACGGGGCCTGGTGGCCCGTGAAGCAGACGCAGCCCCGTCTTGGGGCTACAGAGAGCAGAGCCTAGACCCGCACCCCGAGCCGGGTGTCTCTTTCTCATGCGCTGTGGACGCTGGGCCTCTTCAGCTGCCACCTGCCCAGCAGAGAGGCCGGGCTCCTGCTGCCCACCCGGAGCCGGGGCTTCCGCTGCTTGGCCACCCTTCCCTCCAGTTTTTAGGGCTGGCCTCAGCCCCCCTGCGGATCCCCGGGGCGGGGAGTGAGGGGTGCCGGGGAGTCCAGAGGGCCCTCCCCACGGCCTCCCTGAGGACACTGCCCAGCCAGGGCCGGCGGGACCAGGCGGCGCAGCCCGCAGGGGTCTTGTCTGTTGTCAAACTGCCCCATCACCTGCCCATCAGGCCCGCTCATGGCTCCTTCCTCCCGGCCTGGCTGTGAATGGCGCGTGCTCAGGGAGCAGATGGTTCTGGGTGCGCGAGGAGGCTGCCCCAGCTTCAGCTCGGAGGCGGGGCGGGCAGACCCAGCAGCGTCTGGTCCTCAGCTGTCCAGGAAGCTGACAGTGCAGACTGAAAATAAAAGGTGTTTCTCCTGGAGGCATCAGCGCCGAGCTTGTGATGACTCCCCCGCTGCGGCGAGCTCTCTCCCAGGTCACAGAGTGCGCCCCAGGAAAGGGCCCAATCCGGCCTGCCTCCGACCCAGCCCAGCTGCTCCGGGCCTCACCCCGAACCCACTGGGTCCACAGTCCAGCCCCCTCACCCCCCGGTGAGGTCCTTTCTCTCCCTGCACCCCAACTGCACGTGAGACTCACCCGGGAAGAGGGGTTCAGATCTGGATTTCCGTCCCATCGAAGCCCCAGGGAATCTGGATCAGGGTGGGGGTGGCTGTGCACAGCTGGGCGCCACGGCCTCGGACCGGCCCCTCCTTCCCGTGTGAGTGCGGAACTCCACCGAGAACGCCCCAGGGCCGCGGCCTCAGCAGGCGGCCCAGGCTGAGTGGGGTCGGCTCGTCAGGCCAGCGGCTTACGAACAAAACGGGAGATCAGATTCCAAGAGGCAGAGAGCCCGGGCGGCCACAGGCCTCCTCTTGGCACCCCGGCAGGGCTGTCTCCCAAGGGAAACTCTGTGGTTCTCTAAGTAATGTCCTACGTGAATCCTGACAGGGCTCAGGCCAAGACCCGCCTGCTGCCTGCAGGACACTGTCCCCCTCCGGGAGGCCACCAGCCTTCCTGGGGAGGTGGGGTCCAGGGAGGGGGCCACAGACCCACCTCTGAGGGCGAGGCCCCCTCACCTGGCATCAGGACCTGGGCTGGGAGGGTTGATGGAGGCAGGGGCCTCTAAAGAGCCAGACTGGGGAGCAGCTGCCTGAGGCAGTGGCTGCGGCCTCCAGGCAGGTGGACCTCTGTCTACACCAGAGCTGCAGGCCCTCGGTGCCCAGGCCACGGCCCTGAGTCTGCAGGCTTCCGTGCGCAGGGCCTTTGCACGTGCAGAGCTCCCTCCCTCGTGCCAGCTGGCAAGGCCAGGCCCGGTCACCCCGGTGGCCTTTAACTGTCTTGGGTGTGGCTACCAGCAGCTTCTTGTTTTCCTTCCTCTCCTGGGAGACAGGCTGTTCCCGCTGCTTCCAGAAAGTATGTTTGTTATTGGCTCCTGGAAACACCATCTGATTAAACAGGCTCTGTCCGGACCTGCCAGTCAGAGGCTGCAGGCGCCTGTGGCCCTCCACGAGGCAGGAAGGAGGGGCCGGTGCGGCCCTGTCCTCCAGGCTAGGACCAGGCTCTAAACGGAGATGGAAGAACTTGGGGAATCCTCTCTCAGAGCGAAGAACAGCTTCCCCGCATCAACTTGCTGCAGAATCTTCCTCTGCGGGTCACCACCCCTCAAGCAGATGGGGGCCTTGGGCCCAGGAGTTCAAGTTCAAGAACACGAGAGCCCTCTGTGCATGTGTGCACACATGAACACACATACAAGGGGCACACGTGTGGGCACACAATGCACATGTGAACACACTTGCACGCATACCTGGGCAATATTAATTGACATACACACGTGCACACACAGGCACACATGTGGGCCCCGGTCTCAGTGCTGGGGTGCAGTTACAGCTCTGTCGGCTGCACAGCTAATGAACGGTTCAACAGAAATGTAAACCATTAATAAAGGCCCATAAACAAGAGCCACATGGGAATTCTGTTCACGACGTGCAGGAACGCAGAGCACACGGATCAGCACCCTCACTGTCACTGGACAGCTGCCCCCGAGCCACCCTTCTTCCTCTGCCCCGATGCCCAGGCCCCAACCCAACAACCTGCAGCCCCGGACGCAGGCTAAGACCGGGCCACTGTGCTCGAACAGACGGACCTTTTGGGAGGGACCCAGGTCTCCCCTGGGCCAGTCCCATCTGGCTGGCCAAGACTCTGCGCCCAAGGCTGGGAAACTGTGTCCCAGACCTGGGGTCCTCAGGAGGCATCACTGCGGGCAGAGCCAGTGCCCGGGCCTCACTGACAAAGCGCCTTCTCAGCCTCGTCACAGGACACCACCAGCAGGGGCTGCACATTTCACCCACTGCCCCTGGGGTCCTGTCACCGGCGAGGCGTTCCATGGAGGCCGACAAGCGGGTTTTATAACCTGAGCGGTGGCTGCCGGGGTGGGTTCTTGACACACTCACTGGGGGTGGGAGAAGTATGGGGGATGGGACAGGTGTGGGAGTGGGACAGGTGTGGGGGGTGGGACAGGTGTGGGGGATGGGACAGGTGTGGGGGGTGGGACAGGGTGTGGGGGGTGGAGAGG